AAGAGGGAAAAAATATGGGGCTGGGGGTGCAAAAATACCAATTTCGTGCCAAATACAGACCACTGGGAACGAGGAAGGCTGAGACTCTACCAAATCCACCCCGGGAGACACACAGAGAAAAGCAAAGGAAATTAAAGCACATGGAGGTAAGTGATAAGTCTGACTGTCACCTCCTTTACTTGGGTTTTCTTCATTCTGCCAGCAACCTTGAAAGGCTGCAGGGATAGGGAGGGGGAACTGGGTTGAGAGAGGTGTGATTTAAGAACACGGTAAGTCTGCACGGAGGTCTAAAGCCGAGCAGCCAATCTCTTCAGTGACACCAGACCCTGGGAATCAGATGACATTGTGGAAGGTCTGTAATAACACCGGAGTGTGTCTTTGAGGACTTCAAGGTGTCCCAGGTGCGGTACAAAGATAAGTGTTCCAAGGCCAAGCATGCTTGGGAAACCTAGGTTCAGAGGTGTGTTTGGGGAAGAACATCTAGAGCATCTCACCACCTGCTCTGGTGGCCTGAGTTTCTGCCCAGCCTATTTGATAGAACAAGCCTTTTCTCCCCTTGAAACACTTAGTCATGCCTCACATGAAACCAGCACTCTGGGGACAGCCTGGGGGACTGGGAGTTCTGATCTACTATATAAGGACAGGAGTCACCCAAACATAGCCACACAAATAAGTACCCAGTGCTCAAGACAGAGATGTTTAGAGAGGCATTGAAAGTGCTCTTAGATACCCACCTCAAGACCTGCCCCAGCCTTATGTGTGCACTGGTAGGAAGGCAACCCACTTAACCTGCATCTACTGACTATAAATTAAAAAATATTCTACGTGCAAAAAAGGAAAAAGATAACACAGAGGTGAACATAACAAAAGAAGTTATATCCCAGACCTGTCCGAACATCTAAAGCAGTTGTTCTCAACTGGGGACAATTCTGCCTGCCCCACCCCCATCCCAGGGAACAGTTGCCCAAGTCTGGAGACATTTTTGGTTATCACAACTGTGAAGGGAGAGAAGGATGCTTATGACACCTCATGGGCAGAGGCCAGAGATGGTGCTGAACATCCTAAACTGCACAGGACAGTTCCACCACAAAGAATGATCCAGTCCCAAATGTCACCAGCGATGAGACTGGGAAGCCCTGTTCTGGAGCTGTGGTTCTTAATGTTCAGATCTCCTGAGAATGTGAAGGAGGCCGCAGACCCTAAAGGGAGCGCATGTGCCAGCAACGCTACGCAGATATGGTCAGGGGTTCAGAGGGATCCCAAGTGCCCAGTGCTACAGCATCTGTTTTATAAAGCTGCCTTGTATCGAGACACATTTGCATGACCTGCCTCAGTGTTTGACATGCATCATTTCAACTCATGGAGTTATGAAACCTAGTGTATTTTACATATGAGTCAAATACACTCCTCAAAACCACCCTAGGCAGCAAGAATTATCACTCACTCACACTTGCCAGGTGGAAAAATGGAGCATTCCTGAAGTTTGGTAATTTTTTGAAATCAATGAGTGATGGCAGAGCCAGGGTTCAGTGACAAAGGCCAGGTTCTTACACTGCCCCCTCCCTAATGTTCAGGTCTGAGAACAAGCCAGGGCATCAGTCTTCTGGCCAGGAAGCTGGGCAAGGTGAGCAGTAGTGGGTGGCCCCCAGCTGCATAAAAAGTCAACAGCAAAATTCCCAGGTGGGTGTCTAGGCCCCAGCAGGAGACCCACACATTCCTGCGGGGGCCAGGGGCTTCTCTGCCACTATTGGGACTCCCATTCATACTATCCAAGGGCCCACTGGCTGTGCCGGCACATTCCCAGCAATAAAATAGTACCAGGGAGAAGACTTAAGCCACTGTCATGTCTAACTTGGGACTGCATCCTAGGGTCTTAAACGCTGACAAGAAATTCCCAGTACAACATGTCCATGTCTCCTCGACCTGGGGAAGGGAGGCCAAGAGACTCTGGAAAGTGAAGAACAGTGGAAAGGAAGTGTCAGCTTTCCTCATTCCTCCTAAAAGGGGCTCAGGATGCTTAAAATCCAGTGGGAAAGGACTCAGGGAGGCTGGAGGTCTAAGCCCTAGAAAGAGTCCCATAGGCTTGGATCTTCCACCTGTTTCACAGGTTACCCCTCACCCACCCACCCATGGATGGGGCTCTAGAAATGAGGCTACAGTGGTTCTTTTGTTTGGATTTAAGGAGGCTACAGAAATGCACGGAATTAATTCATTCCCTGAAACCACATAGCCTAGGAAACTCAGTACAATTTCCCCTGAAATATGCTGAATGGTATATCATACTTCAATTTTTACCCCACGCCTTGGGCATCCCCTACTCACATAAGAACAGTCGACCTTTACTGACCACTTAAGTGTCAAAACTCTTCTGAGAGGTCTATGTCTATAACTTGTTTAGTTTTCACGATAACCCTGTCATCTCTATTTTACAGACAAGGACACTGAGCACAGGGAAGTAAAAGTAACTTCCAGAAGGCACACAGGTGGCAAGCAGCTCATCCGGGCCTGAAACCGAGACGGGGAATGTGTCCATTCTCTTAATCATGTAGAAGGACTCTTAGCAATGAGGCAGCCTCATATATGTAAAGCCTCAGGAGTCTAGAAAATAACGTCCCTGAATGGGGTCGCCAGTCCCCACGCAGGCGTTTTATATGTTACACAAGTGACTCCTGGTGAAAGCCATCTCCAGCCCAACTGTTCAATTTCAGATATGCCAGGCTGTGGGGCTCAGGAACCCTTTACTCCTTGCTAGTTTTCAGGCTCCAGCAGGGTTTGCTGAACCCAGCACCTGTGCAGAACACCTCCTACCTCCCAGCCCTGCCACATCCCCAGCCAGAACCAACACCTAGGAATTCTATCCATCTCCTGGCTGCCTGAAGTCTTTCATGTGACACAAGGAGGCATGAAAATTAAAGAGTAAACATGAATCACATATTCAGAGCTGATCCCAGGTTGCCAATTTCCTAGGCCTCTTTTTTTTCCCAGTTCACTACCTTGCCTAGCTTCCTTTACAGAGCAGCAGAAGCACTGTGCTATTAGCTAATATCACCTAGGACCTAGGACCTGCTTACTCTTCCCACCCTCATGATTACAGGCTGGGGAAAGAGGCAAACTTTGAGTTCCTGGTTGGCACCAAAACCAAAGAGTTCTACAGAACAAGGGTGTGGAGAGCAGGGAAAACATAATTATGGTCACGGCCCCCTTCCCTCTGTCTGCTTTCTTCCACACCCCACTGTTTTATCTGAAAAGTTTTCCTCTAAAGAGAAGAACACCAAATCTACTATGTCAGAGGAGCATTGGGGCTTAAAAGTCAGAATAAAACCTGCAGGATAACACACAGCTTAGAAGTGTATGCTTTCCCTCATTACATAGTAAGTTGTTTCTTTGGAAGTATCGCCTCAGTTATAATGAATCAGAAAGAAGAACAAAACAGAGGGAAGAAATACCACCTTCCTCAGTCTTTTTAACACTGATTTATCCCTCTTTCCAGTTGGAATATTTTGTTTGTTCTTTTACCTGCTTAAAACTCATAAGATGCAGACAGAGTGCTAGGCTAGCATTCTTAAACATCTAGCTCAGCTATTTCGGTTGACACAATAAGCAGATGGCAAGATTAATCAAATGGGTAAGGAATGGTCTGTCTGCTAAGATCCCACCTAGCACTCTCCAAGGGCTTTAGCCTAGATGCCTTCACCTAGGCTGGTAGATGGAGATCAAGGGAATCCTGTCAGGTTCTCATCTGGGTCAATGGAAAAGGATGATGTAGGAACATGATCCCAGCACAATGCTGGCCCAGGTCTCAACACTGATACCTGGGCCCTTGAGACCTGAGCTGCTGGAACTAGAGTAAATTTGAGGTGCCTAAGTTTTAATAAGTATCTGTTGGGTGCTAGGCACAATACAAAACACACCGCATTAACTCTTCACCACAATCTATTTAACGACTATAAGCCTATTTCACAAATAAGGAAAACAGCAAAATAGATGGGTTATCTTATCAAATACTATAGTTACAGGGTACAGAAGCTAAGCTTCAGGCAGACTTCTATGTCACATCCCCCCTTATCAAATTAAACACAGTAACACAACAATTATAGAAGGAGTAATAAAATATTGCTTGTGTTTTAAACAGCTAAGAAATCAGAGAACTACAAAATGGAGCCCAAAGGATCTTTATCATGAGGATGAGTTACAGGGTGTAGTGATAAGACATGACTTTTTAATGGTAGTAATTTAGCTTCTTGGGAACAGGGTGCTACAAATGAAATTTACCTTGCATATCAAGTGGGATTTTCTCTTATTCTATTAACTTATCACAAAAATATTTCTAAGTCTGAGGTTAGAAGAAATAAAGATGAATTGGTCAAAATAAATTTTTAAAAATCTCATTCTGCAATATACTTGGGAAATTAATCCAAAAAACATATTCTTAGATGATCCAATGAAACACAGTAAAATAAAGAAAGGAAAGGATAGAGATGATAACATCCAATGATCTTTGAGAGACAAAGGAAGGAAAAGAAAAGAAAGGCAGAAAGGAAAATTGCAGAAATGGAAGATTTTATTAAAAGGAAAACAGACATAATTGAAAATCAGAAAACAATTGCCAAGCTTACAACTGAATAAATAATTTTTAAAAAAAGAATAAGCCATCCCTTTTCTGAAATCTAGAAAGGCCCTAAATTATACAATTAAAAATTACCATGGAGACAAAAAACAGCCCATTTTCTTCCCTCCTTTGGAAAATAAAGGATTTTGTCATGTCTTGAATCTTTAACAAGCACAACCTAATCTTACAGCCTGTATTTTCAAAAGGGAAAAAAACAGATGTCTTTGAGGTGAGACAAATTATACTCCTTTTAGGCACAGAATATATATTTTTATATTTGACATATATCTACATATAGATTATATATGAAGTACATAAATGATATTTCTGTGATATTAAAATTGCATGGTGGGTGCAATTAGGTAAAAGTGTCTAAAAATGGTTCTTAAAGAGGTAATAAATGTTGAGAAGTACTGACTCACAGAAATTTTGGCTTTGCATCAGAAATGTAATGCAGAATTCTAAAACACCTTCTCAAAGTCTCTGTGGGTTTCCACACTAAAGGAGTGAAAAATGAAAACTACAAACATGGTGGCTCTTGGCAGGTAGCAGTAGGCACAGGGAAAATGTTTTATAATACCCAAAGCAAAAAATGAAAAAAGGAGAAAGAAAACAAAAGTTGAGTTTTTCCATGAGTCTAATCAACCAAGAAGCCCTGACACTAAAAAGTGAACTGCCCCTGCAAAAGGGTGGCTTAAACTAGAGAGCTACAAAAGCTCACTGGCCTACACAGCTACCCTTTCCTGGTCACCAAACTGCAGACTCTAGGAGTCTTGCTCGGAACACTGCATCTGTAGAAAGCCATACTCTTTGTATGAAGATCAAATCAGAACACATGAGCCCACAGATCATTTTCACGTGGTTATTGAAAAACAAAAAAGAAAAAAAATTATGGTAGTTGCTTGGCACTGCTCCTTGATGGCAAAATGTCTTACAAGTGAAAGTGTGAGCTCCCTATATTCCTCAGGCATGGCTAATGGTTTTCGGGGTCTGTCGGCAGTGCCTCTGCCTCTCCAAAAGGTCTCATATCTAAGGCACTAAGGCAAAAGCAAGAGAATTAGAAGGCTACTGTGTGCATCTCCCTGGGGTTACTTCGGTGGGTGGGGCATGCACTGCCAAACCCACTGAGGCAGCAACAAGGCCAGGTTATGGGCCACCCTCAGAGGAACTCGAACCAGCAGCGTGGGTGGCTGTCACGGAAGAAAAAGGAGTAGGTGTGGCAGCGGTGGCCACGCCTGCTGTGGTGGATGAGGGACCAGAGGGAGTCGCTCAGGAGGACAGAGAGGGGCCTTGGCCCCTTGGGATCACCTTCCAGCGGCTTGACGATCTGCAGCTTCTCGGGCAGGTAGGAGCGGCTGCTGAAGGACATGCCCGAGAAGCCAGTGAACTCTGAGCAGCGCGAGTGCGTGCCCAGCGACATGATGCTCTCGGTGGGCGTGAGGGAGCCGCTGCGCAGCTCGCCCTTCTCAGCCAGCTCCCGCAGCTTCCTCTCCTGCTCCTCCTCGAAGAACCTCCGCTCTGACAGGTAGTTCTCCCGGCGGAGGGACAGCCGCCTCAGGGCCGTCTCCAGGTCATGGGAGCCGGGCGTGCCTGGTGTGCCTGGCTTCTTGCTCCGCTCCTCGTTCCTGCAAGAAGAAATGCCATGAGGGTGCAGTGGGGCAGCCGGCAGGACTGCTGAGATGGGACAGACCCGGAGGACAGCTCCAGGGCGGGCAGCTTGGCTCTGCACGCAGGACCAAGGAAACCAAGGCCAGCGGCTGAAATGGAGGCAAGAATGGAGAAACAAATGCCTGTCGCCAAGAACTACTTCACTCTGTGGGTGTGATTTAGTGTTTTTTTCAGAAGGGCCATGGCACTAGGGTAGAATGAAAACTGAAGTAAAATTCACCCCCTAGTAGCATCTCCCTCCTGAGCCTGCAGGAAGAAACCTTCCATAGGCTGCAGTTCCTCGCTACCAGAAGGGCAGCCAGCTAGTTCAAGAAGAGGCTTCTCTTTCCTCTTGAATTAAAGGAGCTGAATTTTAACTCTAAAGGAAATCAGCTCTGATCAAGGAGCTTCTCATCTGTCTGACTCTGTTGGTCCAGAAGAATCAGTTTTGATAAATAAGAGGACAAGGGTGTAGAAAGTAGGCAGTGCAGGGTTGGGGGAAGGATCTGCAGAGCTTCAGGACAGGGAGGAACTGACCACTGCACAAAGTGCCCAACCTGCAGACTCACAACATGGCAGACATTTGCTAGGTGACTGGGATGCCTGCACCCCACCTCCACAACAAACAAGACAGAGAGCCTGAGTCCTAAGCATTTTCAACATTCAACTACAAAGGGGTTCACAAAACAAATGTCAGTGATGATTCATGGAAAAACATATTTATCGATCCTCTTCTTCAACAGAAAAGCATCAACTTGTTACACCTCTTTCAACTGGGTAAAATATCAGTCTCAAGGATAAGGATGAGCTTGGTGGGCTTGTAGAATGTATTTGGAGAAGTATAGGTCTAATTTTCCAGGCAATTTTCATCAAGCTCCCTCTGATGACTAATGAGCCTGTGGTTCAACCCATACTACCTCTCTTCTCTCCAAAGCAGACACAGAAAACTCCCAGCTCACTCACCCCAGATCTGCTGCTTCAGTTTCCAAGATAATGCTGTTGGTCTTGTTATCAAGGACAACATTGCCAACATCACTGCCATAGAAGCTGGACCGGGGGGTGCTGACACAGCTGGACAGGAGGGAGTTCATGGCTGAGGACTGGTTGGAGCCAGGGATGTTCATGGGAGAAGGGGTCAGTGACCTCTGCTTGACAACCTGGTTGATGTTTCTCACAGTCTCAAAGACACGCTTCTGGTGACTGCAGAGAACACACAACATCCATGAGTAAGCAAGTTAGATCTCCCACAAAAGACCAACTGATGGCCCACAAAGACACCTGGCCCTCAAGAAATCCCTGAGCAGTCTACTATATCCTGTGC